ACAGTGTGAGTCACAAATGCACGTCTTATATATAATTTAAATTTTTCTAGTGGCTACACTAAACATTTTTTAAAGGTAAAATTAACTTAATGATATAAGAATATTTCATTTAACTCAGTGTATTCAACATGTTGTCATCTCAACTTTCAATCAAAAAGTTACCAAGAAATTTTACATGGTTTTTTGCCCTTCATGCTTGAATCTGGTGTGTATCCTTAAAGCCCATGTCTATTTAGGCTGGCTTTCCTGATGGCTCAGGCAAAGAATCTGCCTGCAATGCGGGAGACCTGGGTTCATTCCCTGGGTTGGGAAGATCCCTTGGATAAGGGAATGGCAACCCATTCCACTGTTCTTGCCTGGAGAATTCCATGGACAGAGGCTATACAGTCCATGGGGTTGCAAAGAGCAGGACACAGCTGAGCGACTAACACTTTCACTATTTCAAGGGCTGTGTGTGGCTAGTTGCTTTCACAGATCTAGCCTCTTGATGAGAAGCCAACCTGTGGTCTCACAGTGTAGAAAGCCCTCCTTGTTAGATTGGCTTTTCCTGGGCCCGGCCCCTGTGTTCTCTTCTTGGGCTAAGATGCATTTGCTCTTGGGCCAGTAACTCGTGTCTTGGCTTTTATTGTTTCCTTGGTCTAATGGACTTAACTTCAGCCAGATTTCCTGGTATTGTGCCAGTGCTTTCCTCTGAGCTTCATTTCTTCCCCTTCAAGTCCTTGCATGCCACCGTGCTATAATTCAAAGCTACTATGGGCTAGGTTTCCATGGACCCAACCCAAACAGGGAACTGGCTTTTTCATTGTTTGTTTGGAACCATGGAGTAGAAAATGTCAAGACACTTGTTTTCAATGCTTCAGAACTGAATTTAAACTCTACCATTTCCAAAGGGGTCTTCCAACATGGAATGATTTAGAGGATTCAACTGTTAGATTAAGAGGGCTGATTGGAACATGAATGTACCCTCAACTTTCCTCGCTTTGATCATTATCACTGGCTGTCTCACCCTTTGTTTAGAATCCTATTAGTCAGAGGCTATAAAACCTTGTATGAGGCTGGGGTACCTAAAGCACTCTGGAATATTTCAGTGAGTATTCAACAAAGAATCACTGTGTTAAAAGGCTTTAGTTGAGGTCTTTGTCCCGAATCTTCATGAACCCCACAGTACACAGACTTGTCTGTCATCATGGATTCTCTCCAGTGTGCTCTGGACACATAGGCACTATGAGCTGTATGGTGGTGCCATGTACCAACCAAGGCAGGAACGTTGGCACCTGTCCAATAGTCATTCCTCTTGCTTTTGCTGCGATATGGCGGAGCGCACCACCTCTGCAGTAATAGAGGCTGACAAGTGTCCTGCATATAGAAGAGGCATGCCAGATGGCTACTTTCCCAGACTCCTTTGTAACTGGCCATGTGACCCAGTTCTGCCAGAAGGACTCAAGTGAAAGTATTTTTGGAGAGCTCCTGGGAAAGATTTTTCTCCCTGATAAGAGAGAAACATGAAAGAATGACTCTCTTGCAGCTCTGGTTGCCTTCTTCTTCCTGATGAGGTTGTGAAGTTTGCAAATAAGACAGCTACTTTGGAACCATGAGGTAAAAAACCTGGGGAAGCAAGTGAAGCTGTCTGAGGATGCTGAGACTGATGATGGAAAGAGATCACATCTTTGATGACATCATTGAACAACTATGTGAAACTTGGAACAGAACTTCCTACTTTTAGAATTGTTTTATCATATGGAACTCTGTGAAGCTACAAGCCTTCTAATGGTCTGGGGGGGGGGGGTTGTCAATGCAGGTTTAAGAAGGATATTTAAAGATTAAAGCCTTTTGGAAGAAAGGTGTTAGATAAAGGGGAGGCTGACAACATTCACATGTATAAAACCTCATTCTGTGTTAACACTTGTGCTTAGTTGCTTAGTCGTGTCTTACTCTTTGTGACCTCAGGGACTGTAACCCACCAGGCTCCTCTGTCCATGGGGATTCTCCAGGCAAGAATACAGGAGTGGGCTGCCATTTCCTTCTCCAGGGGATATTAATACTTCACAACCTCAAAAATACTCTTGCAAGCTTCTTTGTAAGAGGCCCCCCTTGGAAATTCCTGATCTCCTGGAACTTAACCTTCCATCTCAATGTATTCCACAGTTATCAGGGGTCTGGGTAACAAGAAGATTGGGACCTGTAACTCCTAAAGGAATATAGTATCTGGAGTCTTTAGCAAAAAAGCCTCCAAACCTTCTGTCTGTTTTCTGTGCTGAGTGCTCAGTTGCTCAGTGGTGTCTGACTCTTTGCGACCTCATGATCTGTAGCCCACCAGGCTCCTCTGTCTGTGGGATTTTCCAGGCAATAGTACTGGAGTGGGTTGCCATTTCCTCCTCCAGGGGATCTTCCCAACCCAGGGATCGAACACTTGTCTCCTGCATCTCCTGCATTGGCAGGCAGATTCTTCATCACTCAGCCACCTGGGAAGTGATTTCTCTGTTTTCTACCTCATACCAAAGGGGGCAGATCACTCTCATAGATTTACTATCTTGAAACCACATGTGGGAGTGGTTTTGTTTTGACAGAGAGCACTCCAAGGGACCAGCCCACTGTAACCTCCTTTTGTTTCCTGTTTGGGCAATGTTTGAAACTGGTTGGACTGAATTTCCATTTTTACCATGTTTTCTTTCACACATGCTAAGCTTGGGTGAAAGGAGGCAGAGACAAATGCTGGCATTTATCCTCAGAGGATAAAACATTCTGAACAGCAGTTTATCCTGGAACACTGACCTCTGAGGCAGGTCATGGCCCATGGTCAGTCCTGATGGGTACCCAGGGCCTGTCTGGCTCCCAGGATCTTCTTCTCAAAGTGTTAAGAGCATGCCCTGAACATCTGTGACTGTTCTCAGGAATGCATTCTAATTCTTGAGTCAGAAGATCAATGGGTAGTTGAAGGGCTACCTAGGGAGAAGAGCTCATAAATCAGAAATTGAACAGTGTTTTCTCAACTATGCATCTGATGCTATTGTGAAATATAAAGAAAGGAAGAAGGATTCTAGTATTAATACATACATACCTATGCACGTGATTGTTAATATGTACAATAGCTATAAAAGACATATGACTTAAACAAAATTTACACAAAACTGAGCTGTGAGTATAATTTATTCATATTCTTACATAGAAATTTACTATGCAGGCAATAGAAAAGAATACAAACACTCCCTAAGAAAATCAATAAAATATTTGCTAAAATTATTAGGATAATACTTAGTAACAAAAATAGCTTGAGAAAATGAATATTATTTAGACAACTTACAAAGTTTGAAACTGTTCCTATTTACAAGTCTGTGTGAGGGCATGGGAAGAAAGTCAGCCCACAAGGGCTTTCATGTGAAGATGGACTTGGAGACAGTAGGAGTCTCTGGTTCACTTAGCCATGCACAGAGTCTCCAGGGCTGGTGATCTTTGGTTTGCTTGCCTTTTTGTCCGTCCCTTCCGAACTCTTATTTCTCAAATTCCCTAACAAAAGAGATTTTTCAAACACTGAAAATTGAGTTTTTCCACAAAAATATACATGACTCTATGACAGTTGCAAAGTCATAGTTTCCAAAGGGCACGGGGTTTTAAAATTGAAACAGTGTTTTCCTGAGAAAATGAAGAAGTGAACTTTTCCCTAAAATAATTGTAGGTTTACTTCCCTTCTGTTCCTATAGTTTGCACTGACTACTTCAAACTCAAAGAAGAAAAAACCTTTAGGGTTCCACTTTCACTTTCCAGTCCTCTAAAATTCCAAAGTTTCCCACTGCTGTATTCAGCATGTTCGGTTATAGAATCTTTACAGGACTGATAGCTTACACAAACGAAGCAAAACTGGAGACTTTTTTATCTGTATTTCTTTTTGGTGGTTCAAATACCATTGATTTTTGAGAGAGAATATTGTAAATGTTTATAAAATAGAGAATTTTTTTAAAAATAAGAATTAAGCAACTTCTAAGCACTCAGAAGCAATCTGACACTAACTTTCAGTCTTTGTAATACATGACATCCTTAGATGAATTGAAAATGTGGCTTTAAAGGGCCCTTGGATGTTGATGATTTGATATTTGATCCCCTGCTTTTGTGGCCTTTACAGAATCAATTTAGGGAATAAAGTGAAAACAGCTATGCTGAATATTTTAGAGAAATTTAACTTTTCTTTAATATCTAGGAACTGATATAGCCAGGAACTTCTCTTATTTTACCTCACTGAAAACAAATCCATTCTCACAATAAAAAGATAATAAGCTACCTAAAAAAATCCTTTGCAATAACCAAGAAAAGTGACAATACAGAGTAATTTGATGGATGGGATCCCATTCTCTCTCCTGCAGCTCTGCCAGCCTGAAACAAACCCACCATCTCCTATAAGAGAATGTCACACACATATTGGACAGCGTGGAGGCCATTCTGTTGAGAAGCTGGGGAAGGAACTCAGTGATGGGCCCCGTGATGTGGACCACAGCTGTAATGAGTAACTTGCATTGATTTTAAATATGCCTGAAGGCTTATCTGAGAATCCTAGGCTGACTTTGATTTTGTGACTGTGAATTCCATTCACTTAAGGCTTATAGAGACTGTAAGAGATTGGTTTTATAGAGATTAATTTTAATTAATACTGTTAACATCATGTACAATCAAACACCAAGAATATCAATAAATATCAATAATTAGCTTTGGTCTTCCTTCCTCTTTCTGTTGGAACATTCTGACTCTATACATATAGTACAGTCTTAGCGCCAGTGCCCCACTAGGCTTTAAAATTCCACAGCCAGAGCACATCACCTTGGTGAGTCTTGTGACTTGTTTAGGGCTGTTCCGGAGACTGAAAGAGATAGAAAATAAGCATGAGAACACATCACTGATGGTGTAGTATGAAATTTGTTACTAGTGAAAACAACAGTTTTGAAGTTCTGGAAGTCCACTGGGACAGCTTGTCAGAAATGACTTGTGACCATGGCTGTGGATGGGGTTTGCATTCACAAAGAGCCTTGAACCGTCCTTTTCCTGGATTGTAGGTAGAAGATGCGGTTTTCCTCAGGATAAGTGACTTTACTGACGGGCATCTTGTAGATGTTGGGGTTTTTTGTGGTCAGCAGGAGGAACAGTAGTGTGGCCAAACAGAAGGGCCAGGTGCAAGATGGCAATCCGACCTGGAGAGAGAGACAAGCCACACGTTCCTTTAAGATCCTGTTGGAAGGCTAACTCGCACAAAGTGCAGACTTCACCCCACTGTCCTTCAGCTCAGGAGACAACTCTCTGGGGCATGACTGTGGACTCCACTTGTCTCCGTGGAGACTGAGTTTAAGATCTCAGGACATTCGACCCCTGAAATGTTAGCATGCACTCCTTAGGGATGATGCATGCCCTGCCCTCCCTCTTACACAGTCAGACTTCCTACAGAGGATGTGTAAAGATGACACTTAGCTCCTAGAGATGACACTTAGCAACCACCAATAGCTCCTGACCACTCATCATGTCCATGAGGCCGTCTTTGATGAGTCCAGCCCTCTCTCCCCTTGGCCTCCGCCCAGACTAGGCCTTGGACTCTACTTGCTTTACTTCTTTTTGTTTCCTCTCTCAAACAGACTCTAAACCCCTTGAGGGTAGCTCCTCCTTCTGTGCATCCATGACAACTCAAGCAATTCTGAGCACACACCATGTACTTGGTTAGGTTTGGCCCTATAAACTCCCTCCCCACCCCACCCCGGGTGTGATGGTACCCAAACTTGACTGCATATCAGAATTATCTGGAAGAGTTTAACAAAACACAGATAACCAAGCATCATATAAGAGCTCTACCAGAAATGCCAAGGTATAGGGCCCAAGGATCGGGATATTTCAAAATCTCCCTAGCTGACTCTGTTCTGTAGCCTGCCCAATTCTGCCTCATAGGCCAAGGTCTGTGAACTTTTGTTGGGGTGTGAAGGGTCCCCCAAGCTCTAAGGCATTCCATCATGCCTGTAACAGGGCTTTGGCATTCCATCATAAAGATAACCGTGTCTCCAGAAGGACCCTCCCAGCTCAGCTCTCTGTGTTGTTGTGAAGAGGACTAGATGTGGTCCTGCCCCGCTGGCAGCCATGACCACAACTGTATGGATGGAGTTATCAGGAACTGGCCCGGCATCACCTGCAGTAGTGGGTGAGGAAGAGAACTGAGAGGTGGGGGGCCCCAGAGCAGCTGGGGGTACTGGGCTCCTTAGGGGAGAGGAAGGAGAAAGTCAAAGGGCTGGACAGTACTGAAAAGAAAAAAGTGACCAGAGGCACTTAATAGGCGATGATTTTGCCTATTAAATAATTTAGGACAGGGGTCTGAAAAAGTCTCACTGATGACTGACTGGGGATTTTTTTAAAAAAAGATTATGGGTATGAAAAACTCTTGGCTTAATTAAAAAGAAATCTGGATCTTTAGCCAATTATCCTTTTCCTTCCTTTTCTGATTTCTCAACTTCTACATAGTCCCAGTTTTCTGTTTAAGTAAAAGATATTCTAAAGTCAACTTCTTGACCCTCAGAGTTAAAGTATAGACTTGATAATATACACGCTAAGTTTCACTTCTTTAAGACAAACAATCTGATATTTTTAGCAAGCCTGGCGATTATAGTTTGGGCTAAGGTTTACTGTGATGCTGGAGGGTAAATGAGGACAGGTGGGTCCAGAAGATGGACTACAGTGACTATCTGTGATGCATCCTGCCCTGGGATGCCATTGAGGTGGACTTCAGGAGGGTTTCTGTATCATTGAAAACTGACCAATCATGCTGATGAGAAAGTGAGATTAAAGCAAACTTACCACGGCCATCAGGTGTGACATGCTGGCTCCCAGGTAGGCAGTGAACAGGGCTATGAGGAAAAAAAGGGAAAGAAAGAGTGCTTGGACTCCTTTCAATATAAATCCCTGGAATGTAAACTTGTGCATTTCACCAGTGAGCCCAGCACCCTGGTTACAAGTCTGAGCTTAGAGTCAGCAGCTCTGGGTTCACATCCAGTCTCCACCCATTAGGAGCTTGGAACCTCCACTCAAGGCCCCCATTTCCTCACCTGTACAAGGGGGTAATGGAAATCTCGCTCTCAAGGGGTGATGTGAGTGTGAAAGAGGGTAATGCTTGGGCCTAGCACACAGTAAGTACTCAATAAAGGTAGCTTTTCTGTGGTGCTATTTATTTTTTTGCTGTTATTGCTAATATAATACTTAAGGAAAAGGCCTTCCACAGTAAATACATTTCCCCATTATTTTACCCAAGCATAATTAAAGTGAAACTTACGAATGTTCCTTGAGATAACACATAATCTCACCGCATCTGGGATTCTCAGATCAATTGTTAGAAATCACAGTTTAAAAAAAACCATGGTATATGTATATAGGAGATAGTAACTCAGAAATCAGCAGAAACTGAACACAGACCTAGGATTCCTCTTTGTATTAACAACTTCCCTAAAACTGTTAAGGTCGGCATACATGTCAATGAGTTAACATCCTGTGTTTTTATTTCCTTTGAGCATGAATTTTTAAAAGTAGGTAATTTGAGTATATGTATGACCTTCAGTGTAAAATAACAGAAATAAAGATCTCAGCTAGCTAACTCTCAATTCTTGGGCCCAAGATGACTCAGGGAAGCCTGTATGTTTCCCAGACACCACCTGAAGAATGACCTTCTTATAATGGTCACATGGCCAACTGGGCCACCAACACTCACTGTTGAACACACTCACCATCTGGTCCTCATATCCGTCAAGAAACACATCTGCTACTTTGGGGAGGTGGGTGGGGTGGTGGGAGAGACTCTATGATCTTCTTTTACTTTACTATAGATTTCCATCCTTTTATTGATATTTTATCTTTCTATCCTCATATTTTTTGTTCAATATTATACCTAGTTCTTTCACATATGAATTGTCTCATGCTAACAGGAAAGGCTCATCTTTGGAAATGGTCTGGGCTTCAAATCCCAGCTCTGCCATTTTGCTTGCTGTAAAATAAATCACTGAACTAGGAATCTAGTTTCATTGTCTGTAAAAAGGCAGCTGGAAGAGGTTCTTTACAGGGAGTAATGACTCTCAAATGAAATTATGTATTTTCACAAGCAGTAGCTATAAACTCATCTCTGTCATCATAGGAAGGAGGTACTGCTCTGAGAAGTGTTGGAAGATTTTCTCTACTTGGCTTGGATAATTTCATCCCCACCCTCCCCATTTAGTTCATTCATTCATTCGCTCATTCAAGAAATATTCACTAGCCACTGGCTAAGTATGGAGATACTCTGTCCCTGCTCTCCTGAGCACCGGCTCTTTTATGACACTTCCCTGAACACATGAGTCCTTATTGAATTTCTCTTCTAGGAGTACAGTAGCTTAATACCTATTAGCACACTTTTGGTACTCAAGTCTCATATTGTTATGCTCTTTCAATTCCATGTTGTTTTTCTTTCTATAGTAAGAGTATCAGACTAGCTAATAGTTGTTGCCCATCATTAAGATGAGCTGAGTTGGGCTGGGAAAACCTTACAGTAGAGGTGAAGTTCTGGACATCATGGTTTGGAGGTGATGCCCCTAATAGTGTGCTGAGTAGCTGAGGGAGAGAAAATGCCCTCCAGAGTGGAAGGGAAGACCGAATCCCAGTTCTTCATAGACAACATCCCTCCCTACATACCTCCATATTAAAGTCCTACTATGATAACCCAACCTGTAAGAAGAGATCCAAAATGTGTTTGCAGTTTGCAGTGATAAAATAACAAAATTGAGGAGTTCTCTGGCTGTGCAATTTCTGGCTTAGGGGCACAGGGAAGGCAACTATACCAGGCCTCTGTCAGAGACTCCTATGTTTGCTTCCTGATAAAGCCACAAGAGTTAATAAAAGAGGAGCTCTATAATAAATGTCTTTATTTATTTATCTTGGCTGACAAGCTTGATCTTTTGTTTGGTGATATGGGCAGGCAGAAACTTGCTGTGCATTTTAGTGTGAGATCTGCTTTACAAGAGGGACTGGAGGTCTGTCTCAAAAGTTTATGTCCAAAGATAAAAAAGACTGATGACTGTGCCCCGTGTGGCTGAAACAGCACTCCCAAACACTGTCAGTGGCACGGGAAATTCATATGGCCTCTGTGGGGTGCATTTGGCATCTACTGAAAATAAGAGGAGCTAGGATTTTGGCACCAGTGTCTGGACTCTTAACTAATTCTATACTGACTTAACCACTGTACTAATGAAGAAAATCCGGATCTATCCAAAGGAAGGTAGGTATAATAGGTAAAATAAAGGCCCTCAAAGATGTCTACGTCCTGATCCCCAGAACTTGATATGTTACCTTACATGGCAAAAGGGACTTTGCGGCTATGATTAAGTTAAAGATTTTGAGATAGGGGATTATCCTTAGCCAAGTAGATACAATGTAATCATGAGGTCCTTATAAGAAGGAGGCAGGAAATTTCTATCTAGGGAGTAAGATGAAGTGTTTTCACCTTCTGCTTTATACTCTTCTGTATTGATTGAATTTTTGTTTGTTTCGTACAATAGTCCTATACAACTATAAAATTACAGAGAGAAAATAATGACAATATCTCAGCTTTGAAACACATTTGTAAACTTTGTCTTTTCCTTTTCCATGATCTGTGAAAAGACCTTCATAAACCTTATCAGCAACTTCTGTGACCAAGACAGTTTTTACTTGATCTTTAAGGATGTGCTCAGGCTGTCTATATCCTGGCCCAGAACATGCTTTGCAACAACTGGAATTCCTCCTCTTACTTTTTAGGACTTACAGAAAAGCCACCCTTTCTAGGAGGTGCTTTTGGATGATTCTGAATTGTATTGTTTTCCCCAGGGACTCCTGGCCGGTGAGTCTTTTGGTTCCGCATCATGTGGTCCACGGGCTTCTCTCTCTTACTTGCCCAGCTTCTGCTCTCTGTACACAGGAACCATCTAGGATCTAAAGCTTCTGAGCCCCTACCCTAGCTCTTCCTAGTACTTCCTAGCTCTTCCTAGTCTGGATTGTACTACGAATGTTTAGTACGTATTTTCTACTACTACAAATAGAGAAAAAATAATGGTTTGCACCTGAGATAAAGGTTTGAAACCTCAGACCCATGTCAGAATAGTTTATCCCAGGTGAGTTCAGGAAGTCACATAATCTGTCTCTACTTTTCTCCTTTGCCCTAAGCTTGTAAACAAGTGAGCAAAAGGTTTTGACAGGGCTTGTAGGTGAACAGTAACATATAGTTACAGTCATGTAACTATAAAGAAATTGACAAAATAACATGTGAATGGCAACTCCAGAGCTACCTGAGTTTTGTTAATCTTGCTCTATAGCATCAGATAATCAAAATTGAATAAAGCCTTAGAAATCCTTGGTCCTATCCCACATCCTGCCCAATGCAAGAACTCACTCCAAATCCTGCCTGACACACGGCCCACCACGTTAATTGATTAATGGTGATAAATCCAGCCATTATTGGATAAATGGTGATAAATCATCATTCATCCAGCTAATGATTAATTAGTTTGGTGATAAACTAAATCTTGTTAAATATTTCCATGAGCTTACAGAAATTCTTGCTTGTTCCAATAGCCCTCCACCCCTTTGTCCCCCAGGAAGCATCATTCCTTTCATTCTAGCATATTATCTTACATACTTTTAACTTGTGTTGAATTAGGGATGCTGGAAGCTACGAGGTGAATAAGCCTCTCCTTGCAATGGCCTGGGAAATGCATTAGCTTTTCAAATCTGAAGCACTTGAAGTCTGTTTTTACCTAAGGGTTTAAATGATACTGAAGAGAGGGAGAGTAGTGTAGTGGGAGTGACTCTGGAAGTTGTTAGCAAGTATGGACTCTGGGTTTACATCTACCCTAATGGATTCCTTTCAGTGTATCCCTTTCTCTGTCCTTAGAACTACAACAATAAAACGAGAAGGATGCTATGGAACTCTCCAGAAGCCCTTCTAGCTCTGACAGGCTGAGTCTGGCCTGGAGCTCAGAAAGGATTAATATTACAGGTCTCAAAATGTGGTCCCCAGAGGAATAGCATCAGCACCACCTGGCACCTTGTTAAAAATGCAAGCGTCTCCCCTGCCTCCCCTGCCTTCCTGGCCCGCTCTAACAAACAATGAGTCCAGGACCCAGGCTGGGCCCCAGCAATCTGGGTTTTAACCAGGCTTCCAAGAGATTCTGATGTTTGCTCCAGTTTGAGAATAGCCATATTAATGTGATTCTCTAAGGGCCCATTAAAGCACCCAACTTACCAGGACTGACTATATTTAGCTTGTTTCCTTTCAGTTTCTTGGGTCAAACAAGTAGCATGAAGAACACAGGACAAGTTGTTTCTATCCCCCACCAAATACATATTGTAAAATGGTTAATATGACTCAGCAGACTCTCCAGTCTTCAACATGAGCAATGAGGTAGGCAGAGCAGACGCGGGTCCTCCCTGAGAGGGGAGGCCAGTTGCCCTGGTCTCACATACTTAGCAGGTATCAGGGGCTCAAACTAGAACTCCAGCTCTAGCTTCTCACACAGCCCTTTCTTATTGTTTGTCTTGGATTTTGATACCACAGTCATGAGCAACTTTCCCCAAGTTCAGGGAATACTCACCACAGGCAAGAGCCAGGAGGTGGGTTTGCCAGGTGAGTGCCATAAACATTCCTCCAATTGCAATGCAAGCTAGAGAGCTGTTGAAACCCCAGAGTCCAGCATAGATATTCTCAAATGGAGCTGAAAGACTGAGTCCTATTAGGGAAGACAGGAGGGGTCAGAGCTTTGGACTAAAGGCAGGATGTTCTAGAAGGAGCTTGGGGGTGGGAAAGACATCCAAGAACTCCCATTGGTCCCTTGGAAGCAGACCATCAAGAAAGGTCTGGAATGGCGAAGATGCCTGAGACAGTAACGGGGCAGAGGCAGTGCTCCGTATCTGGGAGCAAGTCTTACACTTACCTGCTATTATCCCCAGCAAGGACCCGATCGCAGCGTGCAGACACATGAGTGGGGAGGAGAGGAGGATGGCGCCTAGGAAGATGCCCCCTGTCCACGGGTTATCGCAGCCATATATCTGACCCACACCCACGGGCAGGGACTTCAGCAACTGCGGAAATGATTTAGAAAACACGGCCATAAAAACGACTGGACAGAAACCCATAGGACATCCACAAACACAATGTAATGTCATTTTAGTTTTAGCATATCTTATCTTTCAAGATCAGAGTTACTAACATTTATAATTCTCTCTTGCTCTACAGAAAAATCTCAGTCTCTTTATCCCCAGAGATACACCAGCCCTCCCTGCTGACCCAAAGTCAGATTATCTTATCAACAGCTCAGAAGCAATTATTGACAGGTTCATGAATCAGGACCACATTTACATTTCTATTGCTAATGAGAATATTCATTAGTTAAATTTTTTATTTTTAAAAATTTATTTATTTCTATTGTATATTAAAAACTAATTAAAATTCTTTTATTTTTTAATCTTTTTTTTTTTTTAGAGAGCATGTATTAATTGAAACCAAGATAGCTTGTTCCAGTTTTCAACAACTGTTAGTCCTTAGAACACAAAAATATATTTAAATGTTATAATTATAGCTTTCTGGCTGAGTTCTGAACTCAGATAATGTGTTCACAGAATGGGAGTTCTTAGGAAGAAGGCACAAGATTTGATTCAAGCTAACAAATGGTTTAAATTAAAATAGCTATGTAGGGTTAATAGCTTCTGTATTGGGCAGTTTTAGATAGTTCAACTGATGCTATTTTTTCCATGGGTAGTCCTGATAAATTTTTTATTTTCCTTCTGAGTTATTTCCAAATACTGCCATTCATTTTCTGTACAAAAAGCTAAAGAAAAGGCTATTGAACTCTTCATGCTTTGACTGCCCAGCAAAGAGGACAGCAAAAGGGGTTCAATAACCTGATAGCAGGAAAGACAGTCTCTTGACACTAAAAAATGTAAGGTTGGTCTTCTTCTGATTTCAAGTGTTGTCTTTATTTTTTAATACTTGAGAAAACTTAGACAAATTTATTAAATAAACACCAATACAAAGAGCTGGAATTTGATTTGGGTCAACCAGGCTTTTAAAAATAGTGCTATCCTTATATATATTTATAGTGAGATAAACAGCATACATCCTACGAGAGTGGTTCTCAAACTCTTGCCCACATCACTATTTGGAGAACTTGTTAAAACAGATTCCTAGACTCCACCCCAATGATTATGATTTAGGGAGTCTGAGATGGAACTTGGATTAATATTTAAAAAACAATGATTCCGATGCCGCTAAAGCTCAAGAAATCTAAATTATCGTACATATTCTAGGAGATCCACCATAAGAAAAAGCAAAATAGAAAGGTTCTGCAATGGGATCTAACAGTGAGCAACCAGTTCTTTTGATTGGGGAAGGTAGGTCAGGGAGGACAGAACCCCAGGCTGCAGAACCCCAGCCTCAAGGGCTGGCCCCCATTGGACACCCCCCTCCCCCGAAATAAGGGCAAAGTTTGGAACAAATTGTCTGGATTCCAGTGGAGCTATACTCTGGAGTTAGCACTGCAGGTGTTAGGAAAAGAGGAGGAAAAGTTAGTTTTGACCATGTAGTCCTTTAAAAAAAAATCCCTTAGAACCCAAAGATTTGGAGTAGAACAAATAAGCTTTTAGATGGCAAGAAAAAGTGGCAAGGCTACTCCAGAGCTGAGCCTCTGTCAGGTCTGATGTCCACCAACAATTAACCAGGAGGTGTCTTCCAGAGCCCAGGGGAGGTGGGAATGGGATATAAGAAGATAGTGTATCTTACCTGCAGAGCACTGAGGTCAGGCCAGGTGACATTGGGAACTGAGGTGACAGGTGTGATCAAGGTGCTTGGGAAAAATGGATTGTAATGTCCTGTGGCAGAAAGGTACATTGACAATGCCATATTGAAGGGCAGAGTGAAGACAGGGAGGTCCCATTTGCTGAACACGGAGCTCAATGCACTTGAGAAAACTGGACTAAAAACAAAAGAATAGAATGGAAGAATAGGCATGTGATAAGCCATACCAACAAATTGAATATCTATACTATAGAGAGGCTTTTTTCATTAGCAAATAAGTCCCTAAAGTGTTGTGTTGGCAAACTTTTGACAGGGGAAAAAAAAAAACAAAACCCAAACCCAAACACACCTGGTATAAATCCTATTATAGAATAATTCTTACGTAAAGTAAAAAGTCAACTCTCAGCTTATTTGGCTTGTGAAAAATTATGCTCTGGGGTTGCTCACAGTGAGTTATAAATCTAGGTTTAAAAATATTTTTGAAGCATTTAAGACATACGAAAAGAGTATTGTCTAAAGAGTTAAAGCCCCTTGTGTAAACTACTTGACCACGTGCCCTTCCCTCCCCACCAGAGGCAATCTCAATCTTGAACTTAGTCCTGAAGGAAAAAGAGTGTAAACTCAGGAGGGCAGAGTTTTAAGTCCTTGAGAAGTTGAACTGTGTGACCTTGGGCAAGGAGGTAGCCTCAGCTTCCTTGCCTGTAAACTGGGATATTGGATTAGATGGCCTCTGGGCCCTTTCTCTTCCCTCACTTGTGAATCCAGTCAAGGAGCCATCACTTTGAAGTTAGAACCCCAGGTTTCCTGAACTCGGGGGAGGGGGTGTGGGTGATCCTGTGCAGTGATACCTCCGGCCCTTGAGCCTGGTCTTCAGAACGGGTGGGAAGTTTCTCCTGGGGGGTTGGCTGTGCCAGTGGGTTCTCCTCCACACACCTGTGGCTGCAGCCAGGAGGGGCACACTCTCCATGGTTGGCTGCGTCTATGTAGCCAGATGTCTCATGTGTGTGGATGCTAGCGTTTTATATTTGGACTATATCATAGTAAGAAGGAAGTGCTTGCTTAAAAAAATGCTTTAAGACAGTGTCAATATAGAAACTAGTTTGAAGGGTTTAGGATTAAAAAAGGAATAGAATTTAGTAAAGAATTGTTTTGAGGGGCAGGTGGGTAAGGGGGGTTACATAGGGACAGTGGTTCTCAGAGTGTGGTCCCTGGATCAGCCACGTCAGCACCACCTGGGAACTTGTTGAGATGCAGATTCTCAGGCCCCATCCCAGACGGACTGAATCAGGAAGCCTCAGGGAGGGAGCAGCAGTCCATGTTTTAACCGGCCCTGCAGGCAGTCTTTGATGGTGTGCTTGTTCGAGGACTCCTGATGCTGGGTAGTGGTTCTCAACTTTGGTTGTACTTTAGAATCCCCTGGGAGCCTTCAAAACTCCCAGTGTCCTGGAAACTCCCCAAACCAGTTACATCAGAATGGTGCTGTAGGAGGAGGGCCATGAGGTGTGAGGGGAAGCCACATGCATCAGTATGTTTGAAAGCTTCCTGTTTGCAATAGATATATCCTGAATCTAAATAAAAAAGATAATTTTCTAGAAATTGCCTTATATATAACATAAAATTTGCCACTTAAACCATTTTAAAGCATTCAGTTTAGTGGTATGAAGTATGTTCACACTGTTATACAACCATCACCACCATCCATTCACGGAATATTTCTCATCTTACAAAACAGAAACCCTGTACTCACTAAATAATAATTCCCCCCATTCCCTCCTGCCCCTTATACATTTTTTTCCAAAAAGGCATTTTGAAAACCAGGTACAACTTACCAAGTCATGGACATAGCAGATACAGGGAATAACAGCCACCAGAAATAGTTTCCCTTGTCTGAATAGATAGTCATGAGGATCCCCACCAGGGTAGCGTTGTAGCCCTGGAGCCCTGCTGAAATGGCAGACCTGTGGGCAAGAGGCACAGCTTAGACACCTCCTGGGTGGATGTTGGCTGAACGTGCCCATGAATACCACTTGTAACTTCCAGGTAATATTTACATTTGAAAAAGAGATTATATTTAGGGTTTTATTGCAAAGTCTCTAGAAACCAAATACTAATAAAAGCATGAAACAGTAAAATATACATGGATAAAATACAAATGTGCATATAGAACAACCCCTACAGAGGCATCATAGCTAAGGAGTAGAGAAAAGGAAATCAGCAAGCCAACATAGTCTGTTTCCTTTTAGCCTTTCCTTCCCAAAGTTATTATTTCTTTTGAATCATTAGGGTCTTTGACTTGCATAGAGCTTTTATTTGAAACTCTTCCCTAAGTCTGATTTTCTTGCTGAGAGGTGTAAGATTCTTGACATGTAAATTCAGTTCCACAGTGTCTTTGATTTTATCAACACAAGTCTTCTAACTTAGAATATATTTTCATCTTCTTGTTCTTCCATTTTGTTGTTTCCAGATATACATTTCCAAATTATTTAAAAAAAAATCCCTTTTACTTGGCAAACTATTCCATTTAACTATATGCATCTTTAGCATCTAATTTTTTCTTGGGTCCCTTTCTTCCCAGCATTTAACATCACTTCCAAATGTTGTCCTATGGGTTAAGTTTCTACTCCTGGTCAAAATGGTACCTTTTCATTACTGGGGACTAAAATTTATCTCTCTGGAAGCTGAACTAACCTTTTCACTGTCTAGGAAGAATGAATTTACTAAACTAAGCATGGAACTAAGATATAATGGGTTTAGTGGAATTATTAAGCCACTAAAACTTTTCCTGAATTCATATGCATTTTTTTGCCCAAATAAATAAAATGCTGATAATAAATAATTGATCAATCATTAAAGTAGACTCCCTTTGGATTGTAGGGTCTTATAGCTTAGTTATTATTTATAAGAATTACTTATAGCTTAGTTCTGGTAGCATGTATTGCCCAAAAGGATCTGGCTGCTTATTCGGGTACTGTGAATAAGAGGCTATAAATGATTTCCTGACTGCTGACTAAAGGCAAATATAAAGCAGTCTGTGGAATAAAGGTTGATTCTCCAGGCGAGGGTGGGGCTTTATCACTACTGCCCAGAGTCACCGGTTGGCTCCTGTGTTCTCTGAAGCAAGAAGCAGAGGCTTGGAGGGACATGCTTACCTGTCCTGACTAAGTAACAGGGCTGTCAGGGTGGAGATCACTGTTCCCACACAGCCATTGAGGGCACACCAGGGATTCTGGACCAGGAGTCCCACCAGAATCAGGATTCCACTGATGGGGTTGCTGACAAACACAACTTGGGATATCCCCCGAAGAACCCAGTCGACGAACTGGAGAGCCTGCGGTTTATCTGGAAGAGATGAGATGAGGAGAGCTAAGGAAATGGTGGGGCAAATGGGGCTCCTTCCTGAGTCTCCTTCCCAAGCCTATCCTGAGCAAAATCCCCTCTGAACAAGGTGAGGCTAACTTTGGATATTCCTTGAAAGTTTTTCTCTGAACTCTTTCCCCTTTAGTGACCCCCAGATCCCTGAAAGCATCCAGATCTGCTTTAGTGACCCCCAGATCCTCTTTCTGCTCAGTCCACAATGTCCATACTAGAACCCCAGTTCCAGAAAGCACTGAATGGACTTATTTAGTGTGCTTAGATGTTTAGACCCTTAAGCCAAAGGAATGAATTACCAAGAGTAAAATTTCAGTTTTTAAGTACCAAAATTACAAGGTGGAACTAGGAGCCATCCTCTGACATGAACAGGATCACTGTCTCCATTAAAAAGAAAAAAAAAATGAAAGAAGTTCTCAGGTTAGAAGATAAAAAGTTTAAAAAAATGGAGAGAAAAGTGATAGAAGATAGGGGAATATAACTAAAGATTTGAGTAGAAGAATCAGCAAACCATTTCCCCCAATGCCACTTCTCCAAGGTGGCATAAATACCTTTAAGCCAGTTGGCAAATTCTTTCATGTCACCAGTGATATAGCCAAGAGACTTGGGGAAGCGTCTTCTGCCTCGACCTTGTGGAGCCTGATTTCCAACCTGGTCCAATTTAACTGCAGTGGGGTTGTCATCCATGGATGTCTCTTCTGGCTCCTTGAGGAAAGGATGGAGCTCATGAACATCTTAATGTAGAACCCTTTGGACTGGCCAGTGAGGGACCTGACCACAGTAACCACACAGGATGAGTTTGAAGGCACTTCATCTAGACCCATGACAATCCCACGAAACTAAGAAAGCACCATTTTCCTCTTGAAATATTGTCAGGGAGATTATTATCAAAACCCAAGCCCCATACTACTTTTGTCATCACTGTTTTTAATGTCACCATGAGAAGGTTCTGGTCTTTAATTTCATAAGGTTCAGTTTCTAGCTCAACGAATATTTATTGAGTACCTATATCCTACACTCAAAGAGCTCAGTCTAGTGGGAAAGAATGAAAAATAGTTAATTTCAACATAATGAGTCAGAAAATGATACAGAAATAGCTACAATCAAGTACTTAAGCTTTTTGCTCCAATGAAAGGAGCCAGATGTCAGGTTACAAAATGATGCTCGCTAATGCAGACCAACCAGCTACTTTCTAAGACAAGCAGCCATTTTAGATGCAACTTTTATTTTACAAAAACAGGCTTTGTTTTAAAAGTTTGAAAGAGAAGAAATGTTTGTGTGTGTGTTGACATAGCCTAAGAACTGCACCCTGCCCTGACACCACAGTATTCACTCTCCAACTCAGAGACTGCGTCCTCACATCAGGCAGCTGCCTCGTATATTCTCTATTTTTGAAATCTGTTATTTAAGTGTTTAAATACCACTGAAGTGTTTATTTAAGTGTTTAAGCAAAATCGTTAAATAAATGAAATATGCAAATCAACATAAATATGGGACTATATATTTATATACATAATAAATACATGATATATTTAGTATGTTCACTAAAATATTGAGAATTTGGGCTATATCATTTAAAAATATAATTTACTAAATCTAAACTAGAAAAAAAAAGACTGGCAAAATAATCTTCCACAAGGATGTAGAAAATGGGAAAAGTGGAAGTGGGCTAGCTGCTGAAAACCAAAGAATTACATGTTAAGAACGGTACACTGTAGGAGTGTACAGGGCATACTCATGGTAAGCACGCCTCAGGGAAGTACTAACAGCATGACTGTGACTTGTGCTCCACAAGACTCTTCACTTCTCATGTTGCATGTGCAATAATAAAGAATCAGCATCATCAGAATATTATACCCTGTAGACAAAAGTGAAGGTTTCATGGTGCTGATGGTAGTATAAAAGAGTACCAACGGCGTCATCCCAGAGGTAGGCGAAAGGAGAGAGACCATGGCAAAACCACTTTGAGTTTGCAAGAAAAGCAAAGAGCCCAGCTAGGCCAGTGACAGGAGGGGAACACCCAAACCATCAGACCCCAGGAGGCACAAGTGTGGAATGTTGAAGCCACAGGCACGTAAGTCATGACCAGGGAAATACCCAAAACCAATGCAGTTAAACCAACTTGTCTTCTCCCGGCAACCAGGCTGTGAATAAGGGTTTCTCATGCCTATTTTGGGTTCCACTGGTTCTTCTGTTTACCATACCCAACGAAAAGCTATTAAAGCCCAATTAACAGACAATAAAATCTATGACTTTTAAAGTTTTTATTTTTTGCAATTCTGATTTCAGTTTTGGCTTCTATTAATCCCAGTACAAAAGTCAGTGTAACTCATTTTTTATTGAGTCACAGTTATACTTCAATTGTATTATTTCACTGCCAAATAACCATTCTGCTTTTAAACGATGGTCAGCAATTCCATAAAGTAGAAGCTGTTTATGCAATGCATTCTAGACCAAGGTCATTTTGGCTTGGCGAAATAGTGATAGAAATCTGCATTTGTGAGACTTCTAATGAACATTTGCATTAAGAGATTCTTAAAATGAAAACTGCTGGAGGTCAGGAACCAAAACTACATCTATGTGGAGCTCAGCTGGCCCGAAGTTAAACAGTGAAAACCTTTTGAATTATTAAGAAATTATAAAAAGTTTGGGTTTTATTTCATAATCTAACTGATAGCTATCATTGATTTTCATTTATCTCTCTTTAAATATCGTAACTGAAGATAAGGCTTGGTAAGCCCTTTCCTTAGCTATCATGACCCCATTCTCAAAGCCACATATCCTATGAGAGGCATCAGGCTCTGGTCCAGGCAATGACAAGAAACTGCCTTGAGTTTCTGTAACTGGGTAGATGCAGCTCTACAGAGGCAGCCCTGAACGAAAACATTAAAGTGGGCATTTTCCATCAAGTACGGAAGCAATTAGGTACATGGGTTATCCCAGGGTGGACAAATTCATGTTCTCAAAATTCCCAGCATTTATTTATTTATTTTAGAGGGTTTTCAATACATCATCATCTCAGAGATTTTGGAGCTACAGATATGAAACCTGATATTCTAACTGGCCAGGCACGACTGAGAACCGGACTGGCCAGAGTTCCCTGCCCAGCCACCTGAAGTTGGATAAAGATTGAACCATTGATCTGAATCTTCAGCCCAGCATGCAGAAGACTTGCTATGCTTTATCTTTCTAGCATCCATATATTGGGGTGGGTGGTAGGGTTACCATGAAATAGAGGGACAGACCTTCTCATGAGTTGATTCCCCCGGGAATCATTTATTCTGGACTGAACACTATAGAGCTCTGGGAAGCCTGATTACTTGTTCCAGAACTCAGGCATGAGAACTGGTCATGAGAAACCAGTAAGTTAACAGTTGTGGTTCACCCTAGGATTTAATCATGCTACACTCTTTGTATTTCTTTAGGGAACTTTATAAGTCTACATATCCTAATTGGGTAGGCAATACAAAATGATGAAGTAGGAACTAAGTTCAAACTTCTTGAATCTAAGTAGGTCATTAAATTTCAATTGAAAAGATATGACAAGAAAATGTAAGGAACACACTCTATAAAATAGAAGCAAGATAAATAAAAATCCTCAAAATACTTTTTCCTAGCTTTTCCATGGTTGTCAAAAATCTGCAGCACAAAGGTCCAACATTTAAATCAAGACGAGTGTCGTGTGAGTTTCTGGACCAAGACCCCTATGCATCAGGCTCAGCCCAAGCTGCACCGCTCAGTAGAACATGAGGATCCCACTTCCCAGGCTTGGTTCAGAAAAGACACAGCAGAGTCACAGAGACAGAAGCTGTACAAAGGTAGCATACCTGTTCTGCCGGCCCCTGGACCAGGGCCAAGGTTAGCCAGGGGGAGCCTCTGTATGCTGCCTCACCAGTTTTTTTTCCAAAAGGGCCCCTCCAAAGAGGACCAGGATAGGCATCATCAGCAGCGCCAATCAAAGACCGTCCATTCATCCTTCCTTTCTTTCCATACACGACAAAGGGCAAAAATACGTGAATCAGCAGAAATCGTGCCCTGCCTGTGATGTAAAATGCCGGGTTGAGCTCTCCTAGGGGGTTCCTGGGGAGAGGAGACCTCAACAAAGAAGGCAGACTTCTCCATCAGCTAGGGCTCCATCAGCAGAGACCATGAGCTGACTGCAGACACCAAATGTTCATTTTACTTTGCTTAAAACAGAAGAAAAAAACTGGCAAACCATCCCGCACAGCGACCCATGTATGGGTCTTGTGCTGCTGTGTTTCTCCACCGGCAGGAAGCTGACAGGTCTGAAGCCTGTTCCAGAGGGAGTGGTGGGCTTCAGGCTCTGAAACACTTCAGGTGAATTGTTAGGGCTCCATTTCGGGGGATGGAGCCACAATTTCCTTCAAACTTAATCTTTACAAATGTGAGAAGGGGAAGACCTGGTCCAGGTTCTATTTTCTGTAAAAAGATGCTAGCCACACTTGAATAGCAAAAGCCCAGTCTAAGAGATTGCTAAATGGAATTATTTTCCTTCTATCTAAATAAGAATTGTTAGAAATCAGACATCAGCTTGTTAATAATAAACAATTCATAGTTATATTCAACAGGTGTGGCAACTTTTTGTTTCCCTTAAAAAAAAAATAGAAGAAAAACTTCCATTACATCCCAGGATAGCATTCTTCCTTTAGAAGTTCCAGAAAAGTCATATGTTTGGTATTTATTTTTTTCTTCCTCTTTAACTACTTTCTTCCACTGTCTTGGTTTGAAATCTGAAAACTTAACACTCTGCTAGAGTGTTTCAGAAAAATCCATAATTGTGGACAACTTTACTGACATGTCTTTGGAAAAAGTTGTGTGTGTGTGTGTATGTTTATCCATGGTTAAACAATCTGGCTAACACCAAACAGGTGGGTTGCATTATGCATATTTTTGCTTGACAAAGAGCAACATTAAGAAACCCAATAATAGGGCTCTCATATTTAGTTTAAAAGACAAAAAGAAAGAATGAAAGAAAGAGAGAAGAGACAGGCAGGACTGTCACATTCCCCAGTCATGTTTCCCCATCACCAATATCAAACATGTCTCAGAGAATGACATCCTTGAGCTCAACATTGATATTTTCTAAGAGTCAGGAGAGAGAAGGAGTTGGGAGAGCATATAGTTCAAGCCTTCATTTCATAGAGGAGAAAACTGGAGTCCAAAGTTTGGACCGTCCACGTTCACTCCGCAGATCAGCCTTATGGGAGAGGCAAGCCGTGGTAGCTCTTTGGCTTCCAGGCTGGAACCATACAGTGTGAAGTCCCCAAGGGGGCGCTAGTGGACACAGCCTGTCTTCATGGCCTCCCTGAGGTAACCCTGGGGAGGGGGCTGCTGAACAACAGCAAAGGTTATTTCACCCCATGTCCTTGCCAGAAGCAGTGACTGTTCTGACAAATAAACATCTCACCATGCCCCAAAGTAAGCCTCACTCCCTTGTATCATGGACATATCCACAACAAGGCCTGTGTGTGTTGAAGTTAACATCCTGAGAATATTCTAGAAGCTACACCCAGTGAGCTTACAATAGAAGTCAGAAAGCACTTTTCGTAGCCCAGATCACTTAGCGCCACAAAGCAGGACTCATCATTCTGAAATATCAAGATTTCAGTTCAGCAATGTTTCTTACAGGAAACACAACTCATTCTATTGTCAGCATATATTAGAAATTTGTATAAGGAGAGAGCTCGGAGAGTCTATGCCTCAAGTATCACTTTTAAAAAAAATACAAAGTTTAGGACATAGATATGGAAGAAAGCATATAAACATTCATGCTCTACCATAACTACGAGACTTCAGCATTGACATTTATGTGATACTTACAGAACTCGTTATGTTAGGCAGTTTTTAAATCTAAGCTGTGGGGAGTGCTCAGCCTTCTCTAAAACTGTAATGAGAAACAAAGAAAATGCTGTCAGGTATCCTGTCTCCTGATTAAAACACTCTCTGCTCGGAACACCCTCCCTTTGAAGCCTTGAGGTCTGAATTCCAGAACAGAAAGTATAGCTGAAAAGAAGTTGCCAAATTTTTGCTTGCAGTGTGACTTGTTCTCCCAAAGGGTGTTCCAGTGTCCTCCGTCCAGCATGACAGTACAGGCAGGATGATCTGGAAAACCATACTTGGAAAGGGCCATTCCCAATACCCACTTTTTTTTTTTTGAGTCGTATTGATAGATCTCTAATTTTACTTATTTCAAGGACACAGCCTCAAGCTCCTATGCAGCATCTGTGAGCTCAGAGTCCTTTAGCACCTCAAGTGGACTCCTGGCTGAAACCCTCTTGCACTCAGAGCTCTGGGGCCGATCCTCCCTGCTGCAGAAATCATGAACCAAGACACTGCTCTCAAGCATCCAGGAAGAAGCCTGTGAGTTGGGTAAATGGCTTGCTAGTCTACCAGAACTCTAATTTTGTGCTTTTACTCAGTTCCAATCATCTGAAACACATATCTCCATTAAAAAGAGAAAAATTAGAGAGGTCTAAGGAGACAGCCCTCCCATCATGAACAGCTGCAAGTGAACAGACACAGGGGAGTACTCACATAGCAGCTGGCTTCCCGGCAGAAGGCACTGGCTGATAAAGCCCTGCTGGGCTCTATTAAAAGGGAGGTGCTTTGGAGGAGGGTGCTGGGGGAGGGACCCAGTGCTTTTATACTCAGGACCCACTCTGCATATCTGTGCATCTGGCTGTCTCCTCCCACTTCAGGCCCAGGGCCAAAGCACTGCTGAGGAGCGCGCCCCCTGCCCTGGACCGTCTGTCTGTCTGTCTCTGTTCTTGACTTGGTGCCAGCAACTTTGCCATCGTTTCTGGGACTTCCCAGGTCTTTGTCCAGCAACAATCTTGCTCGAGCTCGTGGTTGTCTTCCCCTTGCAGTTTCCTCTGGAGCCTACCCTCACCTTGGGATGTTCTGGGGAAGACGTGTAACTGACAAGGATCAACAGTGTCACTTCAACTGAAAACCTACAGACAGGTTGCTGTGCTGCAGACTTGGGAGTTAAGTGGTAGCTCCTGGGTGGAATGTTCCCTTAGACTTGACGTGGTTTCTGCACAGGTGTCGGAAACCAGAAAAGTCCCGTGGAGTGTGGGCTGAGCGTGGGGAGAACTAGGGTCCACAATCATTTTCTGGAAACCAACCTACCCTTTTCCCCAGTGAGGAGGGAAATAAAAATATAAATGTTGGCCTGGAATGCCCCTCTTTCCAGGTGAGAATCCCAGGACAAACTCTGCTGCCTTTAAAAGTCAGGAGGCAAACATTCTATAGCAGAGGTATCTAAAATTCAAGTGAAAAATCCCTTTCTTCTTCATTTTTTTCCTTAAATTTAAATTTTGTGGCCTTTTTTGAGATCACGAACAGAAGTGACATGAACTGTGGTGTGCTTCTAGGACCACACAATTTTGAAAAATGAAAACCCCACAGAAAGCTGTGCAGGTGTCAGTGGGGCCTCCTGCCTGCCTGGACGAGCTGATAGCCCTTGTCAGGGAGGCCGACAGTAACTCTCTGGCTCCACCCGCTGGACACCATCCAAACCACAGTGCTCCTTGCTCTCCCGGGGATTCCCTCCCTCCCCGTTTCCCTGGCGGTTCAATGTGTGTATCTGGGGGCTGGAGGAAAACTACAAGTCCAGGTTCATGGCCAGAGTTTTGAGGTTCAGGCAAATGTGCCACCAACATTTTCTTCCTGGTAAAAATTCCTCGGGTTACGCTGAAGGGGAAAAATGAATCATAAGAGGATAGACTGAGAGCCTGGTACAGGAGCGAAAGGAATCACACTAGTGTATCTGTGAGCTCTTTATGCAAATGGGCTACAATCCCTGATGGTGGTAATAACAGTAATAGTGATAGTAATGATAATTATTGGAATTGGACAAATGGCTGGGCATTCACTTTGTGTGCTGGGCACTGTGCTGAGCCCTAGATCTGTGTTAGTCATTTAACCATCACAAAAGTCCGATGAGGTTAATGCCATTATCCCCATTTTGCAGAGAAGCAAACAGAATCTGCCTGCAATGCAGGAGACCTGGGTTCCAACCCTGGGTTGGGAAGGTATCCTGGAGAAGGGAATGGCTTACCCACTCCAGTATTCTTGCCTAGAGAATTCCACGGACAGAGGAGCCTGGTGGGCCACAGTCTATGGCATCACAAAGGGTCGGATGTGACTGAGTGGCTAACACACACAGGCTCACAGAATTTAAATCACTTGTCCCGACTTTAACATCAAGGTTCGTGGGATGGGGAGACAGGTGGGAGGGGGGTTCAGGATGGGGAACACATGTAAATCCATGGCTGATTCATGTCAGTGTATGGCAAAAACCACTATAATACTGTAAAGTAATTAGCCTCCAAATAATAAAAATAAATGAAAAAAATAAAATAAAACTGACTGACTTAAAAAAAAATCAAGGTTCTTTGATGTACTCTAGCATCATCCAGCATTTCCAGCTTCTGCCCATTGTTTGCTTTTCTTCAGTTCACTGATTAACTCAATGAACTCAAGCATCAACATGTATCTCTGGACCTCAGCCTGAAGCCACCTCCACTAGGCACCTAGGCCACCTGCTGCCTCAGTGGCCTGAGTGGGCTGGTCAGGGGTGGAGGGTGTTTACTGAGTCTGAAGTCTTCTTGTGGAACTAACTCCTCCCCACCCTTCCTCCCTGCCCTCTCCCCTGGTCCTTGCAAAGGCACACCTTAAATGCTGGTTACAAAACTAGCTGTGCTGCATGGTCTGACTGGGTAGAACAAAGCATGTGGGATTCCCAGCCAGGTAGACCTGAATTTGAATCCTGGCTTCGTCCTGTGTGTCCTGAGGTACATCACCATCTCTGGCCCTCAGATTTCTCACTGTAAAATTGAGTAAGTTGACTCCTTTGTAGTGTTGTGATGAAGTTTTGCAACCGCGTATGTAAATCTCTGTACCTGACACGTGGAAACGGCACCTTTCCAGGATCTGCCCTTCTCAGTCT